CGCCTTGTGGCCTGCCTACCTTATCAGTGCCGCCACCAAAATCGACAACCCGTTCAATCTCGCTCGGAACCGTTCAGACAAAGCTGGCCGTGTTCTTGCCGACGCTCTCATTGCCAAAGTTCAGGGGGAACGACCGGTGACTTTGGTTGGGTACTCCCTGGGTGCTCGAGTGATTTACTCGTGCCTCAAGTCACTTGCTGAACGAAAGGCCTTTGGGCTGGTCGATACTGTGGTTCTGATCGGAGCACCGGTTCCGTCTAACCGGGAACACTGGCAAGTCCTCCGATCGGTGGTGTCTGGACGTATCGTGAACGTCTACTCTGAGACCGACTACATTCTCGGCTTTCTGTATCGTACGACGTCACTCCAGCTGGGTATCGCTGGTCTTCAGGAGGTGAAGGACATTGATAGGGTCGAGAACCTCAACCTGAGTGCGGAGGTCAGCGGGCACTTGCGATATCCCAGCCTGATCGCCAAGATCCTGACTCGATGCGGTTTCCCCAACGTTAAGGGCGGCGAAGGAGCGATCGAAAAGGACGAGGACATCAAAATCACGGATGAAGAGGTGGGTTCTCAGATGGGGGAGCTTATCCAGCTTGAAGCACAGCCCGATCCCGCCTCTGAGCCGCAGCCGATCAGGTCGAAGCAGACCGCCAGGTTTCCCAACGAACTACGCCACCCTCTTCACCCTGATCCACCGGTGCAGAAGAAGAAGAATCCCAACCGCAACAAGGTGTCAAGAACTGGAGGCTCTTCAGTCTCGGAGGCTTTTGATCCCCTCGGTGATCAGAGCAGTGACCCTTTGAATCTGTCCTCCCTCAGTCAGAGCAGGAAACAGCCAACGTCACCCAACCACGAGGATCTCATGAGTCTAGATACTCAGTCACAAGCCAAGCAGTCGAACAGCTCGAGAGCTGCTGATCCCCTCAATCTTGGCTCGCTCGGCCATAATAGCGAGCAGACCACGCCCGCCAGAGCCCTTGAGAAGACGGTTGAACCGAGGAAGGAGATTGCTCTTTCGTCAAGACCTGCCCTTGGCCACTCATTCCAGAGCGACGGTGCGATAAAGTCGCACGCTCGTCCTGAGTTGCCTGTGAGGCCAAAGACGCTTCCTGTTCCAGCACAGGAGGACTCGGATGACGACGACGAGAGCTTCAAGGGCATTCAGATGGTGGACAATGACGGGGACATGACGACGTTTTCGGAGCCGTTGAGGGCTGATTAGCTTAGAACGCCAGGGTGAATTCTGGTAGAAGAACACGCATGGGACAACAGTACCCTTATGAAATATACGCCATGTTTCGGTCTTTAGTGTTGAGTTATGTGATCGCAAGCCGCACCCTTTTACCCGCGTAATGAGATGATCACCGACGGTATTGGTAACTTGACTTTTCTATATTCTAAAAGTCAGTTGCAGGTTCCCGCTATACTCACACCGAGTGGGAAGCAAAAATTATCTAGTGACAACAACCAGTACTTGAAGCCAAGTTGTTTCGTTGTGTACTTGACCTCTGACATCCACGTGCTGCAAATGAAGTATATCGGCGTGGACAGAGGGAAAAGCCACCTCAAAATAGGTCAGATGGCTTGAGTGACAGCCTGCCCAGTTAAGTGCCCTAAACCTTGATTTCTCGCGCACCAGCCACCGGCTGAACCTATGCTGTACTTTTGTGCTGTTTCCTATACCTTAGGTGGTTATCTATTCTATAGCGATATGTCACCAGTATGCAGTTTGCACTTGCTGGTTGTATGAAAAAGCCCATCAACTACTAGATGCGATTTACGCAAGACGAATGAGATCCACAGCATTGGCCAGTATGGATGGCGGGCTTTAAGCGTTGTTGGACATGGACAGCTCGCGGTTCAAGTGCTGCGAGCTGTGTTGAAGTTAGACGGCGATCAATCATCAAACTTGCCACACCATCAAGTTTACTCTTGACTTCATTTCCGCCGAAGTTCCGACGAAGGTACGTAATACAACAGATGCAAGTTGGCGAGTTGAAGAGGATTTTCTTTCGGTTTTTCCAGACTGAAGGGTTCTGCCAAACGTCATGGGCCTCCGCCCCTCAAACTCTATGCTTGGATCAGGGATGAACGATGCTGGCAGGGTAGATGCTGCTTGAAAGGAAGCGATTGCTTCGCCCCCGAGACTCATCTTGAGCTTAGTTCGGTCTGATGTTGTCGAAAGAGAAGTCTGATGATGAAAGAGGCTGAAATGTCATCTGCATGGCATATGATGTGGTCTGAAAAGAAAAGAGAGGCTCCGCTGTCGCTGACGGGCAGGATCTCATCCGGAGATGGAGCGTAATGCACCTGTCCGCAATGGCATGCGCTCCGACGGGTCTGGATCCACGATGTGGTCTTTGACGCAGATTCAAATCTGATTCTGAAGTCTCGCATCCATACATATGTAAGTATGTAAGTGGTGGCGCAGGTGTGTGGTTTGAGCTGCACAGAATATCGTTCAAGGCTCCGGGGCGTTGGAGAAGAATGGAACCAGTGAGATTGCGGATGGTTATGAAGGGGGGCAGGAGGAGAAGATTTTGGCCCTCGTGCATGAAGCAGAGGCAGGGAAGGACGGGATGTTCGCAGGGATGGCGGATCCTGCAGTATGATTGGCCCCGACGAAAGGGACCCCTGTGCCTGAGACGGGCAGGGGACGGGGTTGTAGGGCGGCTGTCGGGGTTCAGCGGCGGACCAACAAGGCGGTCAGTCGAGGTCAGATGAGCGTGGGCCACGGTCGGAGGGGTTTCCGACCAGCGAAGCAGGCGGCATTGCAGGGAGGACAGTGGAAGGCCGGCTTGTGAGTTGTGAGTTGTGCGTTGTTGTTGTAGTCGGCTGGGTCGATGAGTGGCCGGTCATGTTTGCGAAAGGCAATCGTGGGGGAGCGCCGTTGGCTCGGGTTCCGTCTGGCCGTGGCTACTCGTTGCGAAGCGAGGTCAGGCTGCCGCGGGTCTCAGTTATGGCCTCTGTTCTCGGCGCCCACAATCCTTGTGCGATAGAGAGGAGGGGAAATAGCCGAGCATCGTAGTGCAATGGATGAGGGGCGGCGGTGCGGTCGTGATAGGAGCGAGAGCAGACTGCAAGTGAAATTGATAGGCGCCGCGCGGAGGCCTGTGTGTCCCGTTATTTCGATTTCAGGCACAGTCGTGCCCCGGCGTCAGCAAAGAAGAGTGAAGACGATGCGTATGTCATCATCCCAGACTGGTCGCTGAAGCGTGGAATCAGACTGACTCGGGTTGCCCCTGTTCCACGGTCATGGTTTTTGACAAAAATTGTTCTGACTTCCTGTCGAGCTTCTTGACGAGAGATGAGAGCAACGCGCAAATCTCAGGATGAGCAGCGAGGGAAACGATACGGCAGAGACAACAGCCTCAAGAGACGAACATCGCTGGCAGTCGTTAGGTTGGCGACGATCTGGGCGTTCCAGGCCATGCAAGGCGGGTGGATTCAGTGGTGGTTTTGGGCGTGCAGATGACTGTCCAAGACCTTCCGGGTTAGCCTGGGCAGAGGGACTCCGGCATATCCAGTCCGGTGGATGAGAATAAGGAACGCTACCGCCGTAGCCAGCACCCGACTGGTATCCGTGGATGGCAATTCGCCTTGTCTGGAGCGGTACCCGTTGCCCGTGTAAGACGACCGCGGAGACTTGTTAGGGGTCCAACCTTGGAAGTACCGAGCGCACAGCGCAGAGTGCGGGGCGACATGCCGCGATAGTTGCCTCTACTGAGGTGCATAGGAGGAAGGTTCACACCTTGCCGACAGTCCAGTGTTCGTAGACGGGAAACTCAATCCATGGAGCCGCCGGTTGGGTGACCATTTGGGAATGAGGAGTAGTGATTCAGGAACGTGCGTCGAGGCCTGTTGGTGATGATGATGGTCCTTTTGACTTTTTCTTAGGCAGACCAGCCGATACGGCCAAGGCAGGAAGCCACCTGGTTCGAGAGGCACGGAAGGCAGGCACCACCACCAATTGGCAATCTGAACTGCCTGCCTGCCTGCCTTACTGGTGCGGCCCAGTGATAGGTACCTAGATACCAAGGTACCTTACCGCGAGAATCCATCCATTGGCACGGTACTTCCGTAATGTAGAAGGTGCTGGTATCTTTCCCTTTTTTTTCTCCTACTTTTCGGGACCTTGCTGTCTTGTCTTGATGGTGGTGGGCGGTGCCTGTTTTATTTTTGTCAGCTAAGGCATTCCCAGCCCCGGCCACCAAATCCTGGTCGTTGTGTGTTTACGGTGACCAGTCCTTAAGGCAATCCACGCCCGAATCCCCGTTCCACGTCCACGTCTTCCAGGCCGTCCACTTTCACGTCCCACGACTGCGTCCCACCAGTGACCCGACAGGCCCACGATCAAGTCTTCAGTGTCCAGTGCCCTGTGTCCGGCGTCCAACATTCAATACCTGACCCGCATCCACACCCTGCATCCTCATCCCCGTCTTCGCTCCCAACTCAGCCCGCAACTCACGCAACACACCTCCCACCCGCCTCTCGCCGTTGCCTTCCGACTTCTCCCCGGCCACACTCTTACCTTTTCACGCAATTCTCCTCCACCGACACCTCTTCAACCATCTTTTTGGCCTTCAACTCTCCAGAACCCGTGCGCACAAAACCCAACAAAGGACCGCCCAAACACCCGATACCGTTCTTGTCTTTCAAAACCTCCTTCTTCGGACGACCTAGCGACGCCGCTGCGACCCTAGCTCCCTCCCGAACCCCCTCCTCACACGACCTGACGCACGACCGGACCGACGACAACAGGGAATCAAAACCGTTTTACGCCCTGCAGTTCCCTACCGAAAGTTTTTGCGTCCTGCTACGACCATACTCTGCGTCTTCACGCCAGCTTACGACGACAAGACGACAAGACGTCAATACAGACCGTATCAGCGACTCATTCCTAAGATTCCCACCAAGCTCTGTCGCCCTTACACCCTGCGCCCCGATTTCAGCCATAACTACAGTCCTCGTCTCGCCATAGCCGGCGCAACCTCAAGATGAAGGGACGCCCCGTCGACCAGCTCGTTTACGAGCACATGTTTCCGAAGCCACGCGCGAGCGATCCCCAGAACTTCCATGCCCTTTTGCAGCGCAGCCTCATCCTGGAGGTTCGTCAAGAGGTCCACTCATTCTACGGTCACCTTGACACCCAAGAAGCAAAGTACCCAGGGCTCGACTATTGCAACCCCATCCACCGCATTCGCCTGAGCCGCTGGACCTGGCACCGTCGACTGTTTCGAGCTTTTGACAACCTTCGCCTGACTCACAACGAGATTGCAGGCTTGACAAAGTGGGAGGGCACAAAATGGGCCAAGGAGCGCTTCGAGAAGGAGCAGGGCATTACCATTCGTGATACTGCTGGTGACGGGTTTCCGGACTGGGTCGAACCAGAGGATCGCCCACCCGTACCCAGCCGCAATGCGAGATCACAGTCAGTAGAGACGGACGATGCGACGGACCCCGGCGATGAGGACATGGATGGCGAAGAAAGCGACGAGGAGCTCCACAGTGTTGGTGAGGCCCTGAATCAAAGACTAAGGGAGAGGGCAGCGCAGCGGGAAGCTGGAGATATGTCTACCGTTCTCGATGAGGAATGGGAGCAATGGCTAAAGAACGTTATCGAGAGCGGCGAATTGCCGTTCATCAGCAGCAGCCAAATTGCACAGCGGGGAGTTGCCGACGCTGCCCCGACCCTTTCGCCCTTTCCTCCTGGAATGCTGACCGCTGCCCGAGCTGGACAGTGGCAAGCCATCCCTGATTTCCTTCACGACATAATCCGCCGTACTCTCGAGTCGCAAAATCCCAGCGGCGAGGATGATGTGTCTCCGCCACCTCATGCCAGAGAGCGCAGAGGTACTGACGAACACCACATTGGTGGTATTGCAAGTTGGCGACGAACTCATTCAGGTCTTCGTCTTCCGGTTGGCGATAGTGCACCCGCCCCACCACTGCATCGCGCAGCGCAGGCTCCAGGCGCTTAGGAAGTCCTGGGTCTCACCCCCATTCTACAACAAAATACCCCAAATTCCCCAATGACCCCGCGGGAGCTCGCACAATACACAGAAAACACCACAGCCGACTTCCCACTCCCACTTACCTATCCGCCTTTGGTCACGCGAAGCGGCTTTGAAGAACGCTTGGAGAGACTTCAAGCGGCTTTTCAGCAACTCCAGGACCGCCAAAGGAATCTTTGACGTAGCCCGAACTCGAATCTGGCTATTGAACACCTGAACATCATTCGGGGTTCTCTTTCTGGGACTCTTTCAAAAGGAGCAGACCAGATACTACCTTACACTAGATATGTTTCGAGATTTCTGGTCATAGGGGAGATCACCCACCAACTGCGAAAAGCCCTGCACAAACATCACTCGGTTATTCCCCCTGGCGTTGGAAGGATTGTATTTCATTTCCTTGTCGAGGACTTGCGAGGTCTGCAACAGTGACTACAAGGGATTACGAGAAAACGAGAAATATGCATTCGAGGGCCTGCTCCCAAAGATGCTCTCTTGTGTTTAGCGGAGTACCCTTGACTACAAAAGCGGTAATTTGATAACAATTCAAACATGATATGACGTGCTTATTCTCTTCTTTTTAAGCAAGCGTGATATTTTGCCTCGAAGCTTCAAGCGTATGTAATGGACATATCCTACAGTAACAATGCGGACGCCCTATCGTCCGTAAACGCCTTTTCTGCCCCAAACGCGCCTTGAGCTACTTGGATAAACATGAAAACCAAACCTGCAGGCTCCTCAAACAGGATTCCCAAGCAGACCGACGCCAACTCCTATAACCCTTGCCTGAACCGCCCTCCCGTGCTCATTACACTCATGAAGCAACCTGTGCCATGTTAAACCTCTTTCGCGGTGGAACTCCCCCCGCCTTTCTACGGTTCGAGGTGAGACCACTCGGGAATAGCCTTGATCTGCTGCCACATGTACTTCTCCAGCTTGTTTGCACTCTTCGCATACGGCGTGGACTCGTTATTGTACTTGCGGCAGTTGTCGAAGATGAGCTTGGCGTCACGGATAAAGTCCTCGGGAGTGGCGTACTGGTCGGCCTCGAGCTTCGTCTCCATGGTGCTGAGGTCCATGGGCTCCTTGATTACCTCGTAGTAGTCGGCCACGTCGTCCTTATTGACGGGCACGAGGAAGGGCCAGGCAGACTGGTGGTTCTGCAGGTCGTTGAGGAGGTGGAGGAGCTGGTTGTAGTTGGGCCCGTGGCGGGGCTGGCGGGCGAGCTCGTCCATGTCGGGAGACCAGCCGGAGGCGCGGATGGCGTCGATGCTGAGGGGATCGATGGGCTTGGCACCGCCCTTCCACTCCTTTGGGGGGGCGTGGACGATGTGGGATTTGGAATAGGCGCGGATCTTGGCCTGCACGCACTCCTTTTGCTTCAAGAGCATCCTACCCATCTCGAGATACCTGATGCGCGGCAGCATTGAGCACTGCATAATTGTGCCACCTTCGTAGTCCTTGATATATCCCATCCACACGCTCTTGTCAAGCGTGATCTCCTTAGTAAACCCTTGCTTTTTGAAGTATCCAATGGCATAGTTGTCGGCGTAGGTGAGGAAGTGCATCACGTCGCTCGTGGCCTTGACGTAGTCCTTCAGATGGGACATGAGATGCGCACCGTAACCCTTGACCTGCTGATCGGAGCTGATAGCACAGAAGACGATTTCGGCAAACTGGCGGCCTTTGAAGGGGCGGTAGGTGATGCCGCCGACGACTTCGAGGGGCTTCTTGACGATCGCTATGGACAAGTGGGTCCGGTCGTATACCAGACGCGCGATATAGTCCTTGGGCATTTTTGGTAATTGTTTTTGGAAGATGCATTTGAGGCCGGTGAGGATAATGAGGGATTCGCGCGCGTTGTCGTTGTTTACCACGCGGAACTCGATTTCGCCGGTGCGCTCTTCGATGACGGCGGGCTGCGCAGGCGGGTGGTCAGCTTTGCGGGACCGTGGCAGAGGGGGGGCCGTGGTGAAGGTCTCGACGCGCTGGGAGGATCGCGACCACAGACCAATACAACACATACCTTTTCGGGGAACGGAATAGGCTTCATTGCCGGCTTCTTTTCTGGCTCTGCCGACTCATTGTGCTTCACCCGCTTGGTCGCGGTTGGCGAGGACGGGTCGTCCTCGGCTTTGCGCTTCGCGTCTGGATCGTCGCGTTAGGACACTTTACGCAGCATAAGTCTAACAAGCATCATGCGACTTACTTTCTTCCTTCATTTCGACCTAAATAGCAAGCCTTAACAGGCCTTAATCGACTAAATTTGTCAATGGATGTTGTCGTGATGCCTGAAGGTTGATGACATATCGCGCTAGGCTCTGATGTTTCTCCGTGGCCGGTGTCCGCAGAGTGGGACCGGGGGATGTGCTCTGCAGGGGCAGACAGGATGGCGCTAAGCCCTTTCTGTTCAGGCCACAGTTCAATGTGGGCCGGCCTGGAGCTTCGAACACGTTTGGGGAAGCTGCGACCTTCGTGAGCTTGCGCACACCAGCAACACCTTCTGAACACCACTGGCAGTGAACAACTTCGCGCAAGCAAAGGACCGACCACTTTCTCGAGATACTCGACACGCCAATTGATCCCCGAACGAACAAACAAATCCCTCTCCTCGACCACCTAGCAGATGGACTCCTCCCTGCCCCAGATCTGGCAAGCTGCTGCTAGCACGCCGTTCCATCCCGCCGTTGCCAAGGACTCGCAATTCTTCATTGCCTTCCTGCTCCTCCTCGCGGGTATCTCGATCACCGGTGTCTTCGCTCTCAGTAAGAAATCTCCCATTCCTAGCAGGAACCCAGAAAATAATTCTAACTTGCCAAACAGACCGATCCCTCACCAACATCCCGGCCCTGGGTGTTCCTGCTTCTGCTGCCATTGCGTGGGTGTTTCTGCCTATGCCTCGCCGTGACTTTTTTTGCTGACAACGCTTGCACAGATTCGGAACGGTGTACATGTTCTGCGCGGTCGGAGTTTACGTCTAAGATACCCCAAGAGTCATTTCAATTCGGCAGCGGCCTTGTACTTTAGAAACAACCAAGAGAGACCTTCCATATCAACTGCCTCCACAATTCGGGTGATTCCACCTGCAAGTTTTACACACAATGTCGGGTGCGTTATCACAGGCCGGAGCGCAGCCCGAGCCCATCTTTCGGGCTGTAGCGTCCTCGACGAAACCTCTCTACCAACTACTCAAGACTATCAATTTCACCAACAAAGTCCATGTCCAGCTACAGGAGGACGGTATCAGATTTGCGGCTGACCTTTCGAGGGTCTTGCAAGGTATGATCAGCGTCGACGGGATTTTTGAACAGATGGTAGCTGACGCAACCTAGGTACTGCGTTCCTCGACAAGAAGCTCTTCACCACGTATTCCCTCGACCTTGGTGACAGTGCCAATAGCTCGCAACCGAACTTACCCAACTTTCAGATTGCGCTGCCTGCCCTGCTCGACACCTTGCAAATATTTGGTGCCGTCGATATTGCGACCCGCACACAAAGGGCGGAACAAGACTCATATCACAGCAACATCCGTAACTACCGTCCAGATGCGTTTAGTAACCAGGCTCTGGGAATCGGCGGCACTTGCAGCTTGATATACAAAGAAGAGGGCGGTCAATTTGACATCGTGATTGAGGAAGGGGGCGTCAAGACCACGGCAAGCCTCACGACATATCTGCCGGAAATCCCAGAGGAGATTCCCTTCGATCGGGACAACCTTTCTTTCAAGATTATTATGCTGGCGCGCTATCTGCTCGACGCGCTGGCCGAGCTGGCCCCCACCGGACCTAACCGCCTTACCATTGCAGCCTCGAGGGCTTCGCCATACTTAACCCTTTCCGGCGCCGGCGATATGGGCAGCTCCAGCGTGACCTTCGCCAAAGGACGCGAGCTACTGGAGACTTTTTCGATCCACGAGGCATGGTCGCAGTCTTACAAATTCGATCTGATCAAGTATTCCACCGAGGCGATGCGCATCGCAAGCAAGGTCAGCTTCAGAGGCGATGATCAGGGGGTTTTGAGTCTCCAGTTCATGGTCGAGCAGGAGAATGGGATCAGCTTCCTGGACTTCCGGTTTGTGCCGTACATCTCTCACGACGACGACGAGGATGAGGAGGATGAAAGCTTGGACGCCTAATCAGCTTCGCGGGGGCCACAGTCCTACGGGGAAAAGCGCAAGCGAGGCAAGGTTATTCCGATCGGTGGATGTCCCGATGGCCGTAGACGGGCCATTCCATCTGACTATGTCCATGATTAGCTAACACGATATGGCTTTGCCCTTCCGCATCCGTCGAGCCCAACAATGACCCGTGCTCCCCATTCCCGAGTTTAGAGCGAATAACATGTAGCTAGCCTTTCCTCGAAGAACTTGGCTTCGAGTCCGCAGGACGCCTCCACGGGAATGACAGCTCTGGCCCGCGGACCAAGTGGCCCAGGCTCCTGTCAGTATGCACGCTTGTTCACCCGTCCGATTTATCATAGCGGTAGGAATTTGCCCACTGAGGCCTCAACGCGGGAAAGTGACGTGTCTGGCGTCTAGTGGGAGGCCATTCCAAGAGCAGCATTCCACAGCCCACCACGGCCACCAGCCCAAGCCCCAAATGGGCGGAGACCCAAAGGCTTGGGTCGCCTACTCAGTGGGCGAGCGAATCGGAGGTGATGAGAGGGAAGAGAGAGCGAAGAAGTTTTGTTCGCAAACGGCAAGGGCGTTGGCGAGGCGTTGAACGGACATTGTTGATGTCTCGGTCAGAAGAGTTTTCTGACTGGACACTGCGGGCCATCCGACCGGAATGCTCACGCCGACTGGCAGTGCCGTGGTGCGTGGCTGTCCTCTTCTCCTCACAGGCGGCAGTTGGGCAGGATATTTGCTGCTGTCTGTTTGCGGAAAGCCGCGGTCACCTCTTCCCTCTTGCGGACGTAGCCATCGTGAAGCCGGCCCTGACTAGACCACTTTTCCTTCCCAATCGTATTGT